CCAAAAGAAGAAGAAGGGGTAGTTCGTGAGATGGGGAGCACCAAAGACGCAAAAGAACGTACGAACAAGACTTCTATAGTATGTAGGCGAATGCAAAAATTTTAATTGCTTAGTAGGATCCAGAAGTAATTCTAAGTCATCTATTCTATTCTTCATCCGCCCGGCGACTGTATGTATATTTTACAGATGAAATACCTTTTGGTATCCGGTTCCCCATTCTCTACAAATCCTTAGAAATCAACTTAAAATACACCCCCATCTAAAAACCCCACCGCTTCTCTAACCTTAACCATAGTCTCCTCCGCATTCTCTCTTGCCTTAAGACCACCCCTCCTCGCTACCTCCTCAACATACCCCTCATCCCCCAACACCCTCTCATATCCCCTTCTAATAGGCTCCAGTCCCGCATTCACCGCATCAGCCGTCTCTCTCTTCAAATCTTTCAAACTTAAGCTCTTAACCACACACTCTTCGGCTATCTGCGCCACTGTTCTTTTCGGCGTTTGGGTGTCGAACGATGACCATAGTGTAAGGAGATTTGCAACACCGGGTCTTTCAGAAGGAGAGTAGGAAACACTGTTTTGGGAATCCGTAAGGGCGGATGAGATTTTTTTGGTGACGGTGTCCGGGGAATCGGTTAGAAGGATGCGGGAGAGGGGGGATAGGTGTGATTTAGACATTTTTTGGGTGGGGGATTGGAGGGACATTATGCGTTTTGTTGGGGCTGGAGGTGTTAGCTTTGAAAAGGAGAAAGGGAGTTTGGAGAGTGACGATGACATGCGGAATGGCAAGAGAAGAAAGAAACCTACAAAGAATGGTTCGAGGTTCAATTAGATGGGTTCCATATGCATGATTGAAATTCGTGACGCATTCACGAGCGAATTCAAGATGTTGGGTTTGATCTTCGCCGACTGGAACATGAGTGGCTCTTGTCGCATAGTATTAGCTTCGTTCTCCAGACCAAGTAACACAAACAGGATCCAAGATGTGAAATGGGTAGATATATACTAAGCATACCTATGAACCAAGATATCCGCAGCTTGCAGGACAGGGTACGAGAACAATCCCAATTTGAGCTTAGATTTATTGCCACCATCTAGTGGTGAAGCATCATCTTGGAGAGATAATTTACTCTGCACATGTTAGTGAAACGACCATAACGGACGTAAAAACCAGAGGAAGTGAGATAGAGACAAACCTTCCATTGAGTCATACGAGATAAATAACCCATCGAAGCCGTACAACTCAATATCCACATCAACTCTGCATGCGCAGCAACCTTAACACATAAACATCAGCTCTATTCACAACCAATCGCTCCAAAACCCCTTAATTACATCCTCGCCTCCCACCACTTTCTCCCTCCCTCCCACAACACAACACCAAAAACAAAAACCCACACAGCACCTACCGAACTCTGAAAAAACACCGTACTCCTCTCCGGATCCAAACCTATCGCCAACAGCGTCGCCAAACTCTCCCTCTTCCACCTCCTCAACTCCTCTTTTTTCTGCGCCACAGTAATCGCATGTAAATCCACAACCGAGTAAAATAATTTGGTACTCTTCTCCGCTTTCTCCTGTAACCGTACCCAATTTTGCAGCGCCCCGAGATAATTTCCTAGATGTGGGATTCCCGTGGGTTGGATCCCGGAAAATATCACTTGAGGTGGGCAGGATTTGGTGCTTTGGTGTCGTCGGCATGTGTGGTTCGGGTTCGGGGATGCTGCTCGCAGTGTTCGTGACTTCACGTTCTGGAGCACTCGTTGGGGTGGACAGCTTTTTAGCATGGCGGGGTTTGGGGTTTTGGTTGGCGATGGAAAAGGAGGGGTGAATGCACGCGAGACGCAAGTGGGATGATTTACCGTGAAAATTGAATTCAAGGTGGGACACGTGACTATTTTCCATTTTAATATGCTACTTTGAGACAAAAGTACTTTCATCTGGAGAGTGGTTTTGAGGTCTGGAATTGACTTGGTTTGATAAAAAGTTGCTGAAGCTAGTATCTGATTCTTTTACTTCTACATATACATACAATACATCAAAGCTTGATCCAAACTCCACAGTTCATGGGTGTAGCAATGTATGTCCCGACTTGATATCTATTCATCCTTCATCTAACCCCATTCCGCTTGCCGTTCTTATAGCTTTTTGAGCTAGCCCAAATCATGGCTCAATTCTCACCCCAGGGGAGCTGCCTCCCGCAGCCGCCTTGAAGCTCTCTCTATTCAAGATCTCCATAACCTTATCTGCCGTCTCCGTACCTTGTCTCCTACCAAACAACTCCCACTGTGGTTCCATAACTGTCTTCATCTCCTCCATACTAGCATCCATAGCCTTGCCCACACCTGATCGTAAACATGTTAGTAACATTGAAACCCCAACGCAAGAAAAACCCACCAATCTCATTATACTCCCAAACATTCGCCTTCATTCCTATTCCATAGTAGGCATGTTTCCTTAAAAACGCCAGCCATAAGCTCACAGTCTCTGGATGTCCATCCTTAATCTGAATCAACCTCCTCAACGTCTTTCTCTCAAAATTCTCTTGACTCTTCTTATGAATGAAATGCGATCTAGGCACTGTCCATCTTTCTATAATTCTCGGCAACGGTATAGGTCCATATGCAGGTAATTTGAGATAGTATGCCGCGCGAAGAGCGAAGTCGGAAAAGAACTCTAGGTTGCGGACGCTGTATGATCGTAGCTGCAAATCGCAGGAGGGAACTCCGTATTCGGCTTCGCGGCGGAGGGGCTTGAGGTAGATGGCCTGAACGTTACGAGGGTAACGGACGCCAAAGATATCTTCGTCGGATGGTTCTTCGGGAGTAGATGTTGCTGCTGGTGGAGTCCTATTGGCTGGTTAGGATTGCTGGGTTCATGGGGACATGGAGGTAAATACATCGAGGTTCTGTCTGCAGAAGCGGGGTTTGGTACATCGCTGGAATAGTGTTAGTCTTTAAATTTTGGAAATTGTATAAAATAAGCGTACGGTGTATTCGATGAATATCTGACAGACTGCGAGGTGAGGGGTGCAGCCGCACATTGTGGTGTTCTGAAGGCATTCGAGAAGACTGGTTTTGACTGCGAATATTGTCAATTGTGATCCTCCCTTGCGCAATCCGGGTTTAATAGCATACCGATGCTGTCAGCCTGCTAACTGTGCGCCATGGTATGCGCGTGAAAACTGGAGTAGCCATGCCTGGCTAGAAGTTGTGGGAAATGACAAATTGGGATTTTGAGTAGAGTCCTATGATATCAAATATTTTGAGGTTCGAGATATCTAAGCCCGAGATTTATCCGAGAGTCAACTTGATCAATCATCATTATTTAAATCCAGTTAATATTTACCTGGGTATCCTCATTTCGAAATTGGAATGCATTAATACTGTGATTTCCCGATAATTAAACTAGTATATAGGTATTCTTCTGGAGCCTATCATGAATATACATCTCGATTGAAACTTGTGAATTGAGGTCACAGGGTGTTAAACAAAGGTCACCGGGAGGCACAGCATCCCACAGCATTTACAAGTACCAGCGCTCTAGATTTTTAAAGTCTGGAAGGCCAAATGACAGCAGCAACACATTACCATAGTTTTTCCATACGTCACACATGAAAGGTGCTTGATTTCTTTGAATCTTGGTCTTGTTGGTTGAACAACTTGAGATAATCGATCAATAGACATAGGAACCACAGTCGACGTCTACATTGAATATTTATGGCAAGACGCCCGAGTGGAAGTTAGACAACAAAGCTCCAGTGTTCTTATTCTCCCTTATATATCCTGATATGCTACCTCATACATTAGAAGAGACTCCTTCAGGACATCGCCCCCAGTTTCATGCATTGTGCAGATCTTGGAATAAAGGTGCCTCAATAACAGCGGCTACCTCTCCAAACCCATACATCAAAACCCCCGGACGTCTCCAAGGAAATCTCTCCAACCCTTTTC